TATTAACTCTGCGAGTTCTAATTCATGGATTCTCGATAGTGGAGCTACGGATCATATAGTATCAAAATCTTCTGTTATGACTGAACCAAAGGCTGCCATCATGTCTACAATAAATTTGCCTAATGGAGAGACAGCACGTGTGTCACATACTGGCAATATTTCCCTTAGCCCTAACCTTAAATTAAACAACGTTTTATGTGTGCCTTCATTCAATTTAAACCTAATGTCGATCAGCAAACTTACCAATAACTTGAAATGTTATGTCACCTTCTATCCTGATTCTTGTGTTATGCAGGACTTGGCTACGGGGAAGATGATTGGCTCGGGTAAACAATTTGGAGGTCTCTATCATATTTCTTCATCTCCAATCAAGTCTTCAGCTCATCAAGTATCTCAGTCATCTGATTTGTGGCATTTACGCCTAGGTCATCCTTCCTTTTCTCGTTTTAAATTTCTAGCTGATCAATTGCATCTTAATAATGCGAGTTATTCTCATAATTGCAGTATCTGCCCGTTAGCAAAACAAACTAGGTTGTCTTTCCCAAGAAGTTCAATAACAACCCATTCTGCTTTTGATCTGATACATTGTGATGTTTGGGGACCACATAAAATTCCTACCCATTCTGGTTTGCGTTTTTTTCTCACTATTGTTGATGATTTTACTCGATGTACTTGGGTTTTTTTAATGCAACATAAGTCAGAAGTACATCATTTGTTGATGAACTTTGTTAAATTCGTTCAAACTCAATTTCATACTACTATCAAGATAGTTCGATCAGACAATGGGACTGAGTTCCTATCTTTGCAACCATTCTTTACTTCTTGTGGTATTGAATTTCAGCGCACTTGTGTCTATACTCCACAACAAAATGGAGTCGTAGAACGCAAGCATCGCCATATCCTAAATGTAGCTAGGTCTCTTCTTTTTCAGTCACAGGTTCCACTTAATTTTTGGGGAGAGTGCATTTTAACGGCTGTTTATCTTATAAATAGAACGCCATCACCATTATTATCTAACAAGACACCCTTTGAAGCACTCTACAAACGACCACCTACATTTCATCATCTTAAAGTTTTTGGTTGTAAATGTTATGCAACTATAGTACATCCTAAGCAAAAATTTGAACCTAGGGCAACTCCTTGTGTTTTCGTAGGATATCCTTGTGGTCATAAAGGTTACAAGTTGTATGACATGCAATCTCACACATTCTTTATCAGCCGTGATGTCAAATTTTGTGAAGATGATTTTCCTTTTTCATCAGCTTCACAAACTTCGACATTAGCTCCTTCGACTCCTGTTGTACCACTTCATGATCCATCCTACTCAAACATCCATCCTCCACCTTCACCTCCTATTCCTTCACCTCCTACTCCTCCTTCACCTCCTATTCCTTCACCTCCTACTCCTCCTTCACCTCCTATCCCTTCACCTACTACTCCGTCGTCTCCTCCACCTTCTCCAGATTCGCCCACTAATTCCAATCCTATCCCACCTGATACATCAGCTCCACTTCGACGTTCTACTCGTACTAAACAGCCTCCAGCTTGGCATAAGGATTATGAGATGTCTTCTGGAGCCAATCATTTAACCTCTAGCTCAAGTCCCGGCACTGGCACCAGGTATCCCCTTCATCATTACCTTTCATTCTCTCGTTTTTCTCCTACTCAACGTGCTTTTCTAGCTCTTATTACATCCCAGACAGAACCTAAAACCTATGACGAGGCAGTTGGCGACCCGTTATGGCAGCAGGCTATGAATGATGAAATTGCAGCTTTGGAACGTAATCATACATGGTCTCTCGTTCCTCTACCACTTGGTCATAAAGCTATTGGTTGTCGTTGGGTGTACAAAATTAAATACAACTCTGATGGTTCTGTTGAACGTTATAAAGCTCGACTAGTAGCAAAGGGGTACACTCAGGTTGAAGGTATTGATTACACAGAAACATTTTCCCCTACAGCGAAACTTACTACACTTCGTTGCTTACTCACTGTTGCTGCTGCTCGAAAATGGTTCACCCATCAGTTGGATGTTCAAAATGCCTTTCTCCATGGTAATCTAGACGAGGAAGTTTATATGTCTTTACCACCAGGTCTTCGCCGACAGGGGGAGAATACAGTATGTCGGCTCCATAAATCTCTTTATGGATTAAAACAGGCTTCTCGCAATTGGTTCTCCATATTTTCTACAACTATACAAAATGCAGGCTACACTCAGTCCAAAGCAGATTACTCTTTGTTTACTAAGAGTAAAGGTACTTCTTTCACTGCAGTTCTAATCTATGTTGATGATATTCTGTTGACAGGCAATGATCTCAAAGAAATTCAATATCTCAAGACTAGTTTACTCCAGAAATTTCTTATCAAAGATTTAGGAAATTTGAAATATTTTCTAGGCATTGAATTTTCTCGATCTAGAAAAGGAATTTTTATGTCTCAAAGGAAGTATGCTCTAGACATCCTTCAAGACACAGGTCTTACAGGAGCACGTCCAGACAAATTTCCTATGGAGCAAAATCTGAAACTTTCTTTAACCGAAGGAGAGAAGTTGAATGATCCAAGTAAATACAGACGGTTGATTGGCAGATTAATATATTTGACCGTCACTAGGCCTGACATAGCTTATTCAGTTCGTATGCTTAGCCAATTTATGCATGAACCAAGAAAACCACATTGGGAGGCAGCTCTTCGAGTTCTGAGGTACATTAAAGGCACTCCTGGTCAAGGACTTCTACTGCCATCTGAAAACAATTTAAGATTACAGGCATATTGCGATTCTGACTGGGGTGGTTGTCGAACTTCCAGACGATCTATTTCTGGGTTCTGCATTTTCCTCGGAAATTCAATTATTTCTTGGAAGTCTAAAAAGCAGACTAATGTGTCCAGATCATCAGCAGAAGCCGAGTATCGAGCTATGGCAAATACTTGTTTAGAGTTAACTTGGTTAAGATACATTCTTCAAGACTTGAATGTTCCACTGTCCGAACCAGCATTATTATATTGTGATAATCAAGCAGCATTACATATAGCAGCCAATCCAGTTTTTCATGAACGTACGAAACACATTGAAATAGATTGTCATATAGTTCGAGAAAAATTACAAGCTGGAATCATCAAACCGTGTTATGTTTCGACCAAAATGCAATTGGCAGATGTTTTTACTAAAGCTTTGGGAAGACAGCAATTTGACTTTTTGAAGGACAAGTTGGGTGTGATCAACATACACTCTCCAACTTGAGGGGGAGTATTAAGAGGATATTTTGCGGTGATAATTAGTTAGAATATATCTCAGATATTTAGGGAGTTGTTAGTATAGATTTGATTAACCGTATATTTTATTTATTTACCAGATTTAGTTAGATATATATTTTTTCTATTTTTAGGTATTAGTTGATAGTTTGTATCCTATTTAAACGTGGTAAACATGAATGAAGATCATACTTTCGATCCCAATTCTATTTCTATTTCTCATTCTTAACAATATGTAGTTTTTAATACAAATGTAATCAAGCAAGTGATCTGATTCCTGCTTAAAATAGTGAAGAAATTGATGAATGCACATGTGGGTTTGGCCTTAACTAATAATTTAAAGGTGATAATCTCTTGCACATGAACAGTTTTGTCAAAACTCCCTCGTGGGGCTTCATATTTTATGAACTGGTTTGACATTGTATAGCAGGAAGGTGCACGTGGATATGAAAGTTCCTGGAACGTTTTCCTCGTGTGTGTTTGGGGAGGAACCTTCTTGTCTGAATTAAAACATGTTAAACAAGTTTATTATGAGTTGGAATGTTGGTGGAGGCTGAAGATCGTGAAACATTGCTTGAGCATTGCCATGGTTTTCTAAGATCCAAATCGAAACTAACCACCGCGATTCGATTTAGTGGTATTGGGGTACGTGAAAAAACAAAACGGGAGTTCGGGAGTGTAAAGACCCAAGCCCACCGCTAGCAGATATTGTCCTTTTTAGGCTTTCCCTTTCGGACTTACCCTTAAGGTTTTTAAAACGCGTCTAGTAAGGAGAGGAATTGAGAGGTTTCCACGCCCTTATAAAAGAGTGTTTCGTTCTCCTCCCAACCAACGTGGGATATCATAATCCACCCCTCTTCAGGACCCAGCGTCCTCGCTGGCACTCGTTCCTTTCTACAATCGATGTGGGACCCCACCAAATCCACCCCCTTTGGGGCCCAGCATCTTTACTGGCACACTGCCTCGTGTCTACCCCCCTTCGGGGAACAACCTCCTCGCTAGCACATCGCCCGGTGTCTGGTTCTGATATCATCTGTAACGACCCAAGCCCACCATTAACAGATATTGTTCTCTTTGGGCTTTCCCTTTCGGATTTATCCTCAAGGTTTTTAAAATGCGTATGCTCGGGAGAGGTTTTCACACCCTTATAAAGGGTGTTTCATTCTCCTCCCTAACCGATGTGGGATCTCACAGAGAGGATAGGTTCAAAAGCCTTGGTTAAGCAGTTGTCTCGTGAGGGTAGCCGAGGTATGAGTAACTTGCCTAAACATTCACAAATTTTTTAAAAAAGAATCTGAGTTGATGAATCAAATGTACAACAAACTCTTAAGACATTGTCTTACTTAAGGCAAGCATGATCGTCTCTCTTGTCTCATAAGCCAAAATAATCGCTCAAATAGATAGAGGGTGAGATCCCACATTGGTTGGAGAGGGGAACGAAACATTCTTTGTAAGGATGTGGAAACCTCTCCCTAATAGACGTGTTTTAGAATTGTGAAGATGACGTTGATACGTAATAGGCTAAAGCGGACAATATCTATTAGCGGTATGCTTGGATTGTTACAAATGGTATCAGAGCCAGATACTGAAAAGTGTGCTAGCGAGGACGCTAGGCCCCTAAGGGAGTGGATTGTGAGATCCCAAATCGGTTGGAGAGGGGAACGAAACATTCCTTGTAAGGGTGTGGAAACCTCTCCCTAACAGAGATGTGTTTTAAAATTTTGAAGCTGACTTTGTAATGGGCTAAAGTGGACAATATCTGTTAGCGGTGTGCTTGGACTATTACAAATGGTATCAGAGCCAGACACTGAAAGGTATGCCAGTGAGAACACTAGACCGCCAAGGGGGTGGATTGTGAGATCTCACATCGGTTGGAGAGGGGAACGAAACATTCCTTATAAGGGTGTGGAAACCTCTCCCTAATAGACGCGTTTTAGACCCATGAAGCAGACGTCAATACATAACGAGCTAAAGTGGACAATATCTGTTAGCGGTTTGCTTGAGCTGCTTGACTGTGACTTTCATGAATAAGACAAAGGCTCTCTCTTGCAAATAGCAATAAACTAATGGATCTTTCAAACAATATCAAATTAAAAAAAAGGCATATAAGATGCATCCGTGTGGTTATAGAGAAAAGACAATGAATGCCAGTGAGTAAGAACCTGGTTGGAGGGAGACATTGCTTGGACATAGCTTCGACAGTGATGAACATGAGATCGAGATACCCCATGTTTCTTCAACCCTGTCATATATATACAACCATCATAGCCAAAACATGAACCCAAATTGAAATTGCTTAGACTTATTGCTAAGATGAATGCCTCAGCTATGAACCCAAGCAACTCACAACACGTTCGTTCAAGGAGTGTTCCCACAAATCCACACCCAGCCCTCACCCAAGTTGATGAACATTTGAACAGATTAAGAGCTTCAGAAGCCACATCTTCTTCTCTAGGCCTCAGACTCGACGCCCTTCAAGACTTACACGGTTCGGTCGATAAGCTGTTTCTTTTGCCTCTCTCCCAACAAGCTCTGGTCAAGGAAGTGTTAGATGAGTTGCAAGAGGGATCTCTTAGGCTGCTGGACTTGTGTGACACAGCCAAGAATGCCCTGTTGCAAACCAGGGAGTGCACACATGAATTAGCGTCGATTTTTCGTCGAAGACGTGGCGATATTGGTGGTTCTAGTTCATTGAAGAAGTGTTTAAATTCTAGGAAGATGGTAAAGAAATCAATCCACAAAGTCTTGAAGGGAATGGAAAGTAAACCATCCAACAAAGATCATGGAAGTTTGAGTATTGTCAGCCAGATAAAAGAGGTGGAAGCAGTCACATACCACTGCATAGAAGGCTTACTGTTCTTCATAGCAGGACCCAAGTTGGTATCAAAATGGAGCTGCTGGGCTTCATTTTCCAAGCTTGTTCAACCCAAAAGAGTAGCATGCATAAGCGAAGGAACAAACATAAGTGTAATAGAAAGATTGGACTTGATATTAAGTTCAATTAGCAATCACCAAACAGAGGTTGAAGATATGCAGAACTTGGTGAGGGAGTGTGGGGCAAGCATTATGGAAGTTGAAGATAAACTTGAGGGACTTTATAGGGTCATAATCAAAACAAGAGTGTCCCTTCTCAACATCTTCAACCACTAAATTTTGAAAAGTGTTTGAATGAATATGCATATATATACATACAATACTCTATTTTTGTTTAATGATACCCTGATTGTTCTCTTTGAGCTTTTCCTTTCGGGCTTCTCTTTAAGATTTTTAAAACGTGTCTACTAGGGAGAGGTTTCCTTACGTTTATAAGGAATGTTCCGTCCCCCTCTCCAACCAATGTGAGATCTCACAATCCACCCCTCTTGAGGGTTCAACGTCCTCGCTGGCACACCGCCCAGTGCCTGGCTCTGATACCATTTGTTACAATCTAAGCCCATTGCTAGTAGATATTTTTGTCTTTGAGCTTTTCCTTTCGAGTTTTTCCACACTCTTATAAGGAATTTCGTTCTCCTCTCCAACTGATGTGGGATCTCACAGCCTAAAATCCGACTTTTGTCCATTTTTCCTCCACAATTTAAAGGAGTAGCAATAATCAATCACTTCTATGGCATTTAAAACTGCAATCATTTTCTTGTTCAACATCCCATAAGGAACAGTTTGCTAATCCAAGGGTAAGAACAAGCATAAATGAAGGAACAGAGCTGCTGACCTTTAGATGCCATTGAATGATTTAGGCTCTTGGTTTGTCATGTAAGATTTTAGAAAAGACTTCCAATTCTTGTAATTTGATTTATTTAGTCTTTTGTAGCGTTATAAGGGTGGGGAAACCTCTCCCTAGTATACACGTTTTAAAAACCTTGAGGGAAGCCCAAAAGAGAAATCCCAAAGAGGATTTCACTAAACGGTGTGCCAACGAGAACGTTGAGCCCCGAAGGGGGTGGACACTAGACATTGTGCCAACAAGGACGTTGGGCTCCGAAGGACTTCCCCTCAAAGTTTTAAAACACATCTACTAGGAAGAGATTTTCACACTCTTATAAGGAATGTTTCGTTCTCCTCTCCAACCGATGTGGGATTTCACAATCTACCCCCTTTCAGGGCCCAGTGTCCTCATTGACACACCGTCCGGTGTCTGGCTCTAATACCATTTGTAACAGAGCCAAAGTGAACAATATCTGCTAGCAGTGAGGTTCTGGTGTAATAATCTTTTGAATGGTCAACTAAGGTTGGAAATTAAGTACCTTCAATTTGCACTATTGCCAGCTAATGATATTCTAATTGTCTCAATAGTGGCATGAAAGATTCGCATGGTAAACTAACTTTATATGCCTCAAAGCAATAATTGTATGCAAATTGTCTCTAACCTTCATGGCCACTTGATTTAATAATTTTCTATCAATGTTCTATCAGGTCCCACGTCGGTTGGAGAGGAAAATGAAACATTCCTTATAAGGATGTGGAAACCTCTCCCTAATAGATGTATTTTAAAACCGTGAGACCGACGGCGATATGTAACAGACCAAAGTGGACAATATCTACTAGTGGTGGGCTTGGGCTGTTACAAATGATATCAAAGTCAGGTTTTGGGCGGTGGGCGAGCGAAGACACTGGATCCTCAAGGGGGTGGATTGTGAAGTCCCACATTGGTTGGAGAGAAGAACGAAACATTTCTTATAAGAGCGTGGAAACCTCTTACTAGCAGACAAAATTTAAAATCGTGGGCCAAAGCAGACAATATCTGACAAATACAATCATGCCATAAGGGGAGTTTACCCTGCAGCATGCACAATGGTGTCATTGGAGGTACGGCATGAAAAGGGCTAAAATATGATGTGATAATGAAGGAAGAAGACTCCTCGAGCTTCTCGTACGTGTGCGGGTTCGGAGCAACCTTCTTGTCCGAACCAAAACGTGTTAAACTAGTTTATGAGTTGGAATGTTGGATGGAGACTGATGATCATGAAACATAGCTTGGACAAACTGTGTTCTATCAAGGGTTTCCTCTTAAAAAGCATATAATCTCAATAGTACGATATTGTCTGCATTGACCCGTTACGTAACGCTGTCAATCTCACAGTTCTAAAACGCGTTTACTAGGGAGAGGTTTCCACACCCTTATAAGGAATGCTTTGTTGCCCTCTCCAACCGATGTGTGACCTCACAATCCACCTCTCTTGAGGGCCCAGTGTTCTCGCTGGTGACTCTAATACCATTTGTAGCAGTCGAAGCCCACCACTAGTATATATTGAAGCCCACCACTAGGCAGAGTTTTCCACACCTTGTAAGGAATGCTTCGTTCCCCTCTCCAACCAATGTAGGATCTCACAATCCACCCCTTGGGGCCCAGCGTCCTCTCTGACACACCTGATGTCTGACCTAGATACCATTTGTAACAATCCAAGCCCACCACTAGCATATATTGTTCGCTTTGGCCCGTTACGTATCGCCATCAGCCTCACAATTCTAAAACGTGTCTACTAGGAAGAGATTTCCACACCCTTATATTACAAGGAACACTTCGTTCCCCTCTCCAACTAATACAGGGTCTCACAAAAAACTTGAATCAGGGAATAAAACAAAGTTAGCTGGTCGAGGAGAGAAAATGTGAATTTAATAAAAACATATTTAATTCTTCATATATGTGGACGTGTATCGTTTACGTGTAACGCGCTTGTCTGTGGGTACGTCGCTTTCATGCATAAGACAGACTGTCTTGATTGCATGGAAGAAACTAATAGAGCTATCAAACACTATCATATTAAAAAAAAGGTCTATACTTAAATAAGATGCATTCGTGTGGTTATAGATAAAGAAAAACAATGGATGCCAGTGAGTAGGAACCTGGTTGGAGGGAGACATTGCTTGGACATAGCTGACACGGTGATGAACATGAGCTTGAGCTTCTCCATATGTCTTCAACCCTTTTATATATACTATCATCATTGCCAAAACATGAAGCCAAATTGAAATTGCTTAGACTTATTTGTAAGATGGATTGTAACGGCCTAAGCACACCGCTGCCAGATTTCGGGCTTCCCCTCAAGGCTTTAAAACGCGTCTGCTAGGGAAGTTTCCACACCCTTATAAAGGGTGTTTCGTTCTCCTTCCGAACCGACGTGGGATATCACATGGATGCCTCAGCTATGAACTCAAGAAACTCACACCAAATCATCAACAAAGTTAACGAGCAATTGAGCAAATTCAAGGATTCTCAAGCCACATCTTCTTTACTATGCCATAGGCTTGGTGCCCTTCAAGTCTTGTATGATTATGTTGATAAGCTGCTTCTTTTACCACACTCCCAACAAGCATTAGCCCAAGGGAGTGATAAGGAAGTGTTGGATGACTTACTAGAAGGATCTCTCGAGCTGCTCGACTTGTGTGATACGGCTAAGAACGGCTTGTTACAAACCATGGAATGTACTCGTGAGCTCGAGTCGATTTTGCGTCGAAGGCGAGGAGACGTTTGTAGTTCTAGTTCACTTCAGAAGTCAAGGAAGTTGATAAAGAAAACAATCCATAAAGCCTTGAAGGGAATGGAAGGCAAACATTTCTACAAAGATCATGGAAGTTCAACCATTGTGAACTTGATTAAAGAGGTTGAAGCAATGACATACCATAGTATAGAGTTCTTATTGTTCTTCATAGCAGGAACAAAGTTGATATCAAAATGGAGCTGCTGGGCTTCATTTTCCAAGCTTGTTCAACCCAAAAGAGTAGCATGCATAAGCGAAGAAACAAGCATAAGTGTAATAGAAAGATTGGACTTGATATTAAGTTCAATTAGCAATCACCAAACAGAGGTTGAAGATATGCAGAACTTGGTGAGGGAGTGTGGGGCAAGCATTAAGGAAGTTGAAGAAGAACTTGAGGGTCTTTATAGGTTCATAATCAAAACAAGAGTGTCTCTTCTTAACATCTTCAACTACTAAATTTTGAGAAGTGTTGAACAAAACTATATAGAACATGTTGTATATTTGTTTAATTATCAACTAAACAGCTCTGTGTAAGTGAAGTTATGCAGAATTATAATGGTCTTAGTCCCATCTATCACAACAATCATCGCTTTATTTGTAACAGCGCAGCGCAGGCCCACTGCTAGCATATATTGTCTGTTTTGGCTTGTTATGTATTGCTATCAGCCTCACGGTTTTACAATGCGTCTACTCGGGAGAGGTTTTCATACCCTTATAAGGAATGCTTTGTTCTCCTCACCAAGTGATGTGGGATCTCACAGTCCACCCCTCTTGGGGACCTAGCGTTCTTGCTGGCACATCGCCTGATGACTGACTCTGATACCATTTGTAATGGCTCAAACCCACCGTTAGTAGATATTGTCCGCTTTGGCCCGTTATATATTGCCGTCAACCTCACGGTTTTAAAATGCGTCTACTAGGGAGAACTTTCCACACCCTTGTAGGGAACGTTTTGTTCCCCTCTCCAACTCATGTGGAATCTCACAATCCACCCCTTTGAGGGCCTAGCATCCTCGCTGGCACACCACCCGATGACTGACTCTGATACCATTTGTAACAGCCTAAACCTACCGCTAGTAGATATTGTCTGCTTAGGCCCGTTACGTATCGCTGTTAGCCTTATGGTTTTAAAACGCGTCTGCTAGGGAGAGGTTTCCACACCCTTATAAGGAATGCTTCGTTTCCTCTCCAACTGATGTGGGATCTCACAATTTACCCCTCATTGAGGCCTAGCGTCCTCACTATCACACCGCCTAGTGACTAGCTCTGATACCATTTTTAACAACCCAAGCCCACCGCCAGCAGATATTATCCACTTTGGCTCGTTATGTATCGCCGTCAGCCTCACAGTTTTAAAATTCATCTACTAGGGAGACATTTCCACACCCTTATAAGGAATGCTTCGTTCCCTTCTCCAACTAATGTGGGATCTCACACCAACGAGTTACGTCAATCAAAGTATGAATTCAAGAGACAATTCACTTGTTCATTTTTTAGAACATAAGCATGAGAGCTAGAAGATGGCAGCATAGTGGGGATTCCAATGCTTACAATAGTTGAGAATGGAGGAAGCTTACAAGATAGAACAAGTTTTAAAATGGACATCATTCAGCCAGAATTTAAGCAAGAGGATACAATGATATCCAAGACTCTGTCAACAGCACTCGTTGGCTTTATAATATGAACTAGTTGCAGGTTATATGAACACATTGAAGGATTAAGTATATAAACAAGGAGCTAACAACCCGGTGATCGGTTAACATATCACAAACATCGCCCGACACATATCCGATCCAATCTTGTCTAATAGAAAGATTCTCCTGCAATTCGAACACGTTAATATGTTTAGTTTATGCATTGAAAGCTCAAAGGATAGGAGACATTGCCAAAACATTGCTGCAATAACGTTTAGATCCAGATTCCTTGTGTCTCTCCAGCCCCAGTTGTTATATTGAAGCTGTTCAACTTTTTTGAAGGTCATTAGCTACCCTTTTGGCTTCTCCAAGAGAGAAAGAACCAAGATTTGCATGGTTGCATTGATGAGCTACTTCTTCTACCATTCACCCAACAAACTCTTGTCCGCGAGAGAGATAACATGTAACAGCCCAAGCTCACCGCTAGTAGATATTGTTCTTTTTGGTCTCTTCCTTTCAGATTTCCTCTCAAGGTTTTTGAACGCGTCTGTAGGGAAAGGTTTCCACACCCTTATAAAGGGTGTTTCGTTCTCCTCCCCAACCAATGTGGGATATCACAATCCACCCCCCTTCAGGGCCCAGCGTCTTTACTAGCACACTGTCTCGTGTCTACTCCCCTTCGGGGAACAGTCTCCTCATTGGCACATCACTCGATGTCTGGCTCTGATACCATTTGTAACCATCCAAGCCCACCGCTAGCAGATATTGTCCTCCTTAGGCTTTCTCTATCAGGCTTCCTCTCAAGGTTTTTGAACGCGTCTGCTAGGGAAAGGTTTCCACACCCTTATAAAAGGTGTTTTGTTCTCCTCCCCAACCAATGTGGGATATCACGTAACAAAGGGGTTGATGATGTGCTTGAAGGGTCTTTAAGGATCTTAGACTTGTGTGATATGGCTAAAGATGCATTGTTGCAGACAAAAGAATGCGTACGTGAACTCGAATCAGTTTTACGTCAAAGAAGAGGTGAATCGGTTATCGCTAACGAGCTTCGAAAGTGCTCGAGTTCTAGGAAGTTGATAAAGAAAACAATTCACAAGGCATTGAAGGGAATCAAAAGGAAGTGTTCTAAGCAATGTGAGGAAAATTCAGCAACAGTTAGCTTGTTAAATGAAGTAGAAGCAGTGACATGTAGTACTGTTGAATCAGTATTGTTCTTCATTGCAGGACAAAAGTTGATATCAAAGTTGAGTCCATGGTCTTTGGTCTCCGAGCTGGTACAACCCAAAAGAGTTGCCTGCAAAGATGAAGATGAGGTAGACATGTTGGATGCCATACTATATGCAATTGCTAGCCACACGACCGATAAATCGTTCAACTTGCACGACCCGTTGACGAAATTTGAGTCGTGTATTCAAGAACTTGAAGATGATCTCGAGAGTCTACAAAGGCATCTAATAAGAAATAGAGTTTCCCTTCTCAATATCCTAAATCACTAAGGATGGAGCTTAGATAATAGTATCATGATCAATGTCATGAGAGATCATTTTTGCTACATGTAAACACCAAATTGTATATATATACATATACCTTTCTATTCTTATGAGAATCAACTTTTGGAGACTTGAAGTTTACACTTGAATTTGAAAGAGTTTGATCGGTAGAAGTGCAAAGAAAAGTGTGTTTATTGTTCGAACGGTTGTTTCTGTGAGATCCCACATCAATTGGAGAGAGGAATGAGTGTCAGCAAGGACGTTGGGCCTCGAAGGGAGTAGATGGTGAGATCTCATATCAATTAGAGAGAGGAACGAGTGCCAACGAGGACGCTGGGCCCCAAAGGAGGGTGGATTGTGAGATTCCATAGCGATTGGAGAGGGGAATGAGTGTCAGCGAGGACGCTGGGTCCCGAAAGGGGGTGGAGTATGAGATCCCAGATCGGTTAGAGAGGGAAATGAAGCATTCTTTATAAGGGTGTGGAAACCTCTCACTGTTGTTTCTGTGAGATCCCACGTCGATTGGAGAGAGGAATGAGTGTCAGTAAGGACGTTGGGCCTCGAAGGAGGTGGACGGTGAGATCCCATATCAATTAGAGAGAGGAACGAGTGCCAGTGAGGACGCTGGGCCCCAAAGGAGGGCGGATTGTGAGATCCCACATCGATTGGAGAGGGGAATGAGTGTTAGCGAGGACGCTGGGTCCTAAAGGGGGGTGGAGTGTGAGATCTTAGATCGGTTAGGGAGGGAAACGAAGCATTCTTTATAAGGGTATGAAAATCTCTCCCTAGCAGACGAGTTTTAAAATCATGAGACTGACGATGAAACGTAACGGGCCGAAACAGACAATATCTAGTAGCGGTGGGCTTGAGTTGTTACAAATGGTATCAAAGTTAGGCACCAAGCGGTGTGCCAGCGAGGACGCTGAGTCCCGAAGAGGGTGGATTGTGAAATCTCACGTTAATTGAAGAGGGGAACGAGTGCCAGTGAGAACGCTGGCCCCAAAGGGGGATGGATTGTGAGATTCCACATCGGTTGGAGATGGGAACAAAACATTCTTTATAAGGATGTGAAAACCTATCTCTAGTAGACGCGTTTTAAAATCGTGATGCTGACAGTGATACATAACAGGCCAAAACGGACAATATCTGCTAGCGGTGGGTTTGGATTGTTACCATTACCCCACCATGGTTACCTGATAAGCTCAGTATCTAGATTAGCATTGCTGTCAAAGATCCCAATTGCCCCAATAATGGCAATAAGCATGAGAATCACATGGTAGGTTGCCTTTAAACTAAGAGGCAATTTGCTCGTTTATGTATATTATAGTTAAGCAGAACAATTTCCTGCTAATGAAAGTTATCTTAAACGATCATGGCGGATCTTGCCACATTTACACAATAAGCACCATTTTTAACCGATGGAAGAACCGCCCAAACCCACTGCCAGCAGATATTGTCTGCTTTGACCCGTAATATATCACCGTCAGCCTCACAATTTTTAAAACGCATCTATTAGGAAGAGGGTTCCACACCATTATATGGAATACTTTGTTCCCCTCTCCAACCGATGTGGGATCTCACAATCCACCACCCTTGATGGCCCAGCATCCTCACTGGCACATTGCCTAGTGTTTGGCTTTGATATCATTTGTAACAGCCCAAACCCACCACTAGTAGATATTGTCCGCTTTGGCCCGTTACGTATCGCCGTTAGCCTCATGGTTTTTAAAACGCGTCTAGTAGGGAGAGGTTTCCACACCATTATAAGAATGCTTTGTTCCCCTCTCCAATCGATGTGGGATCTCACAATCCACCCCCCTTGAGAGCCCAGCGTCCTCACTGGCACACTGCCCGGTGTTTGGCTCTGATACCATTTATAAAACCCCAAACTCATTACTAGCCGATATTGTTCACTTTGGCCCATTACATATCGCCATCAGCCTCACGATTTTTAAAACGCGTCTAGTAGGGAGAGGTTTCCACACCATTATAAGGAATGCTTTGTTCCCCTCTCCAACCGATGTGGGATCTCACAATCCCCACCCCCCTCGAGGGCCCAGCATCCTCGCTGGCACACTGCCCGGTGTTTGGCTTTAATACCATTTGTAACAGTCCAAACTCACCATTAGCAGACATTATCCACTTTGACCCGTTACGTATCGCTGTCAACCTCATGGTTTTTAAAACGCGTCTATTAAGGAGAGCTTTCAACACCATTATAAGAAATGTTTCGTTCCCCTCTCCAACTGATGTGGGATCTCACAGTCCACCCCCTTGGAGGCCCAGCATCCTCGCTAACACACTACCCGATGTTTGGCTCTAATACCATTTGTAACAGCTCAAACCCCACCACTAGCATATATTGTCCGCTTTGGCCCGTTACATATGACCATCAGTCTCACGGTTCTAAAACGCGTTTGCTAAGGATCAGTCTCCACGTCTTTATAAGAAATGTTTCGTTCCCCTCTCCAACCATTGTGGGATCTCACAGGAATCGGGTCGGTTAGCGTTTCTGATCTTACCCTGGCTTGTTTTCAGATATTAAAGAAGAAAAAAAGTCCATCCAACTCAAAGACAACCCTTTTCTTTCTTTAAGGTTCCATAAAAGTTCTTCCCTGCAGCAAAGAAGAATCCAGCAATTTTACCCCGTGCACTAACACTCTGTCAACAGCACTCGTGTGCCTCATAATTTACAAATTGCTCGACAATCCATTGAGAGACACATCATGAACATCGCCATGATATCTCTGAAACTAAACCTTTGCATGTGCAAAGCCACAAGCTTGTCCTCAACAGAAGCACACCCAGATCAGCATTTTCAAGATGACCCAACAAAACTGATGCCACTCCACAAAGATGCTTGCTTAAACAATGTCTTGAAAGCTTGGCAAATCACAGACATAGCTGAAATCAGCATCAATAATGGTGGAGATAAGATGAGCTTGAGATTCCTCTTGTCTCTCTCAACCAAGTTATATAAATAATAGTCTTATGAAGCCCAAAACATGAACTCAACTTGAAAATGGATTCCTTTGCTGCAAACCCAAAGAAATCATTCCACATCCGTTCTAACAGTTTGCCCCAAAAGCCACATCCAGTTTTGGATCAAGTTGATGAACATCTCTGCAGATTGAAGGCCTCTGAAGCCATTTCTTCATCTTCTTTGAGTCAAAAGCTTGATGGCCTTCATGATTTACATGATTCTATTGATAAGTTGCTCTGTTTGCCATCCACCCATCAAGCTCTTGTTGATAACAAATCAGTTGATGACTTGCTAGAAGGCTCTATCAAGCTCTTGGACGTGTGCTCTTTGGCTAAGGATGTGCTATCACAAATGAAAGAATGTGCACATGAACTTGAGTCAGCTTTGCGCAGAACAAGAGGAGATGACATTGAAGTTGATATTCAAAAGTATTTTAACTCAAGGAAGATGATGAACAAGGCAATCCACAAGGTCTTGAAAGGAATGGAACGAACAAGTTACGAAAATGGCGACGAGAGTTCGGAAATTGTTCGTTTATTAAACGACGCAGAAGTCGTCACATATAATAGCATTGGATCCTTCTTGTCCTTCATAGCAGGGCAGAAGTTGTCATCAAAGATGAGCAGGTGGTCTTTGGTTTCCAAGTTGATGCATCCTAAGAGAGTTGCTTGCAAAGACGTCGGTGCAAATCGAAACGAAGTCGAGGTGGTTGATGCTGCATTGTATTCAATCATCAATCAGAAATCTGATGTCCTGGTGCAAGTTAAGGATGCACAAAACTCGTTGAGGAAGTTGGAGTCATGTATTCATGACCTCGAACAAGATCTCGAGAGTCTATATCGACATCTTATCAAGAATCGAGTCTCCTTTCTTAACATCCTAAATTACTATGGATGAAAACTTAGAGAGTAGGCTCATAGGAATCCATTTTTGTCAAATGTAAACACCAAAGTACATATACAATATATACAGATACATTTCATACAACTTTTGGCATTGCAAACACTATTCGTGAATTCAATATCATCTTCTTCTATGGCTAACTTCTTACAATATTAGTATTGTTGATGTTGTTCCTAAGTAACTAGAGGAAACATTTGCTGAGGATTGTTGGGAGAGGAATCCTACGTCGGCTAATTAAGGGGTTGATCATGGGTTTATAAGTAAATAATACTATCTTCATCGGTACGAGGTTTTTTGTGGAAACCAAGAGCAAAACCATGAGAGTTTATGCTCAAAGTGGACAATATCATACCATTGTGGAGGTTTGTGATTTCTAACATGCCCTTAACTTAGCTATGTCAATAGAATCCTCAAATGTCGAACAAAGAAGTTGTGAGCCTCGAAGGTGTAGTCAAAAGTGACTTAAGTGTCGAACAAAGGGTGTACTTTGTTCGAGGGCTCTAGAGAAGGAGTTGAGTCTCGATTAAAGGGAGACTGTTCGAGGGCTCCATAGGCCTCAGGGAAGGCTCTATGGTGCACTTTGTTTGAGGGGAGGATTGTTGGAAGAGGAGTCCCACATCGGGTAATTAAGGGGTTGATCATGGGTTTATAAGTAAGGAATACATTTCCATTGGTACGAGGCCTTTTGAAAAAACAAAAAACAAAGCCACGAGAGCTTATGCTCAGAGTAGACAATATCATACCATTATGGAGATCCGTGATTTCGTAAGAGGAAAAGAAAACGTTAGATTCATATGTAAATGCCCTTTTCTATTCATATGGTACCATAAAAAGTTCTTCTTTCTTTCTGTATGGTGTTGTAACGCCCCAGATCCACCGCTAGCAGATATTGTCCTCTTTGAGCTTTCCCTTTCAGGCTTCCCCTCAAGGCTTTAAAACGCATCTGCTAGGGAAAGATTTTCACACCCTTATAAATGGTGATTTGTTCTCCTCTCCAACCAATGTGGGACATCACAGTGCCAACTCTATCAACACCACTCGTGTGCTTCATAATATCAGTACATTGGGAGGAACAAGATTCCCACACGTTTTCATGTGTAAATCAACCATCTTGTCCTCTGCAGAGATGGACCCAGTTCAGCATTTTCAAGATAAGCCAACAAAATCGATACCAATGCCTCGAGAAAGATGCTCACTCGTGCAAGCGTAACGCGTCGGTTTGATTAAGCAAGATCACTATACATGTATAATATATACAAATATCTAGGCTGTCAAAGATTCCAATTGTGTCTCAACTCTTCATGTAGGATTTAAATAATCAACAATGAGCTGATCTAAACAGGTTTATTTTAAACAAGTGGTATCTTCAAGAATGCAAGTGTTAAGCAATCTTCTTGTCTCCACAGTCACAAGCAAACTAAATCTTTTATAATATAAACAGATCTGAACAGGTTTAAGTAGATGAGGTCTCAAATGTTTCCTTTGCTTTCTGATATATATTAAGCATACGAGCTACCTGAATGTTTGTTGTAACGGTCCAAGCCCACCGCTAGCAGATATTGTCCTCTTTGAGTTTTCCCTTATGGGCTTCTCCTCAAGGTTTTAAAACGCGTCTGCTAGGGAGAGGTTTCCACACCCTTATAAAGAATGCTCCGTTCCCCTCTCCAACCGATGTGGGATCTTACAGTCTGCCCACTTCGGGCCTAGCGTCCTCACTAACACTCGTTCTCTTCTTCAATTGATGTGGGACCCTCCAATCCACTCTCCTTTGAGGCTCAACATCCTTGCTGGCACACCGCCTTGTGTCCACCCTTCAGAACTCGGTCTCCTCGTTGACACACCGTCTGGTGTGTGGCTCTGATACCATTTGATTATAAAGAAACTAGGAAGAGGTAGGAGGGAGACATGGCATAAACAATGCTGAATTCATTGCTTCTGCAGATGAGCTTAAGATTCCTCACGTCTCCTTTAGCCAACTAATATAAATATGGCTCCCTAATGGCCAAAAGCCACAAACCAAGTTGGTTCATTAGCTCAAGCCTCTTCTTCTCCAAGAAAAATGGACTCCATCTCAAAGAAATCATTCCACACTCGCTCGAACAGCTTGCCCTTGAGGCCACATCCAGTCGTCGACGACGTCGATGAACATCTCTGCAGATTGAAGGCCTCTGCAGCCGCTTCTTCATCATCTTCCTTGAGCCAAAAACTTGGAAAAGTTCAAGATTTGCATGATTCCATTGATAATTTACTTCTTTTGCCACTCACCCATCAAGCTCTTGTTGACAACGACTCGGTCGACGACTTGTTGGAAGGATCACTCGAGCTCGTGGACTTGTGTTCCATGGCAAAGGATGTATTATCACAAATGAAAGAATGCACACATGAACTCCAGTTTGTTTTACGTAGAAGAAGAGGAGATGACATAACAAATGATGTTCAAAAGTATTTGAACTCAAGAAAGATTATGAAGAAAACAATCCACAAGGCTTTGAAAGGAATGGAAAAATCAAGTTCCAAGACAAGTGATGAAAGTTCAGACATTGTTACCTTGTTAAAACAGGCAGAAGCAATCACATATAGCACCATTGAGTCCTTATTGTCCTTTATGGCTGGACCGAAGTCGGCATCGAAGGCGAGCCGATGGTCTATGGTTTCCAAGCTGATGCAACCCAAGAGAGTAGCCTGCAAAGAGGAAGGCTCAAACACAAACTTAGTAGAGATGGTGGATGCTACATTATATTCAATCAAAAGTCATAAATCTAATGTCCTACAAGTTGAAGATGTTCAGAACTTGGTGAGGAAACTGGACTCGAGCGTCGATGAACTTGAAGATGATCTCGAGCGTCTGTATCGACGTCTTATCAAGAATAGAGTCTCGTTTCTCAACATCCTAAATCACTAAGGCTGAAACCTTAGATGAGAATACAATTTTGTCAATGTAAACACCACAGTGTGTATATAATATATACAGATACCTTTTATACAAATTTGCTTGTGAACTCAATATCACAAATGTGAGCCTTTTTGGATAGAATTCAGACATGCTCCTCTGCTCTCTTTGAACAAAGGAGAGTAAAAAAGAACTAGCCATCCTTCAATTCACCATTTTGGTCTTTTAACTTTGGAAACTTTCATTGTTTTAGCCATCGGGGATTGTGAGATCCCACATCGGTTGGAGAGGGGAACGAAGCATTCCTTATAAGGGTGTGGAAACCTCTCCCTAGTAGACGTGTTTTAAAATCTGAGGCTTACGAGTGTACGTAACGAGCTAAGCCGGACAATATCTGCTGGGCTTATTACAAATGGTATCAGAGCCAGTCACTGGACGGTGCGAGGCATTGATTGGAGTCGGGCTAGACCCTCTATATAGTAGACACGTTGTAAAACCGTGAGGCTGACGACGATACATAACGAGTCAAAATGGACAATCTGCTGATGATGGGCTTGAGCTATTATAAATGGTATCAAAGTCAGTCACTGGACATTGCGAGGCACTAGTCGGAGTAGGGCTAGTCCCCTCTTCATAATAGACACGTTGTAAAACCGTGCGGCTGACGGCGATAGTAACGGGCCAAAGCGGACAATATCTGCTGGCGGTAGGCTTAGACTATTACAAATGGTATCAGAGCCAGTCACCGGACGGTGCGAGACATTGATCAGAGTAGGGCTAGACCCTCTTTATAGTAGACATGTTGTAAAATCGGGAGGTTGACGACGATACATAATGAGTCAAAATGGATAATATTTGCTGACGATGGGCTTGAGCTGTTACAAATGGTATTAGAGCCAGTCATCGGATATTGCGAGGCACTGGTCGGAGTAGGGCTAGTCCCCTCTTCATAATAGACGCGTTGTAAAATTGTGAGGCTGACGGCGGTAGTAACGGGCCAAAGTGGACAATATTTGCTGGCGGTGGGCTTGGACTATTACAAATGGTTCAAAACCAGTCATAAGTGCGAGGCATTGGTCGGAGTAGGGCTAAACCCTCTACATAGTAGACGCGTTGTAGAACTATGAGGCTGACAACGATACGTAACGAGCCAAAGCGGACAATGTCTGCTGGCAGTGGGCTTGGACTATTACAAATAGTATCAAAATCAGTCATAAGTGCGAGGCATTGGTCAGAGTAGGGCTAGACCCTCTCCATAGTAGACTCGTTGTAAAATCGTAAGGCTGACGACGATACGTAACAGGCCAAAGTGGACAACATTTGCTAGCAGTGGGCTTGTGCCATTACACAGTTTCTCGTTCCTAATGGCTTAAACTCTATTACGTTAACTAGAGGTCAAATAGTTAACCAAGGTTACCAGATGAAGTTTAGCATTGCTGTCAAAGATACCAATTGTCTCAACAATGATGATAAGCACAAGAATCCTATGAATGTCTTTCAACTAAGAGACAATTTGATTCCGTAATACATATAACAACAAAGTTAATCACGTTGTATCTCAAATATAGGATTTGAATAATGAACAATGAGCTGAACTGATAGTGGAAGAACCGACACAAAGATCATCAAGATGTTATGGTGCATGTGTGAAGCAGGCTTCTTGTATTCATGGTGGCAGACAAACATAATCTTTTATAATATAAACAGATCAGAACAGGTTCATTTTGATTAAAATATGAGTCCTAGACTTGAAACACTGCCACGAAAATGGCTAAACATGCACTGATATATATTAAGCAGAGGGAGTACATACATATTGAGATAGCAGCTGGATAGATAGCTGAGGCTGAGGGGTATCTGTAGCTCAGCCAAGGAATGTCTGTATGAACTTGGGTTGGCCATTCATCAAAGATCTGGCGCTGAAAGCAAAGGCAGCCTGCTGACTGCTAAGAAATTTGGCTCTGCAGTGATATAGGTATGTTTGAATCATCATCATTCATTATTGTGCGTTGTTTCTGGAATGACAACAAAGTCCAAAGCTGCTAGTTGGTGTTTAGTGTTCAAGCCAATGCAAAGAAAACAAGTAGTATTTCAGGAATTGTTAGAGTATCAATTAGAAGTGGGGAAGATTCTTGGTATAAAAGCATGACCATGTTGGCTTAAGCTCAAGCTCAATATAGACGAGGTAAGGTCCCACGTTGGTTGGGGCGGAGAACGATTCATTTTTTATAAGGGTGTGGAAACCTCTCCTTAGTAGACGCGTTTTAAAAACCTTAAAGGAAAGTCTGAATGGAAAAGCCTAAAGAGGACAATATCTACTAGTGGTAGGCTTGAGGTGTTACAAAAGATATTAGAGCCAGATACTGGGCGATGTGCCAACGAGGAGACTGAGCCCTGAAGGGAGTAGACACAAGGCGGTGTACCAGCAAGGACGCTGAGCCTCGAAGGGGAGTGTATTGGGGTGTCCCATGTCGATTAGAGAAGGGAACGAGTGCCAACAAGGACACTGGCCCCCAAGGGGGTGGATTGTGAGATTCCACATCGGTTGGAGAGGAGAACGAAGGATTCTTTATAAGGGTGTGGAAACCTCTCCCTAATAGACGCGTTTTAAAAACCTTGAGAGAAAATTCGAAAGAAAAAGTCGAAAAAAGACAATATCTACCAGCGGTACCGTGAGCAATGGAAACATGTCTTCTCTTTGTTATTAAAAAAGGCAGCTCTTTCAACACCGCTCATGCGTGGCAGATTTTTCAGATTACTCAAAAGATATTGAAGAGATAAGAAGCTCATGAATGACATAGTGGTGGGAGACATGTCAAGAACAATGCAGAGATATCATTAATCTTCTCACATGTGTTCATGTGTGGAACGAGCTCCTTGTCACCATGGAGGCAGACCAGGCTGAATTAGTTTATCTTCCTAAAAGAGAATCATATATAATTAATGGTGGTTAGCTTATTAATGAGTTGGAGACTCCGAGACAACAATTACGTGGTAGTTGTTCTAATTTAGTGAACAAGTCAGTCGTGTAAAGATTAAACTTCGTGGACAATTTTGACATATGGTCGAACTTCGAGCCACGTTTGACAGAATATGTTTTATAAAACGTGGACGAGGAAATTAGTTGAAATTTTTTTGAAAAAAAGCAGAATAGATGTTAAGTGCACTTGGAAGCCTTTCATGTCTGGTAAGAATAGACATGTTTTTACTAAAATGATAAAATAATACAACATGAAAGTAAGATAAGAGTTTGACATGATACAGGCATGCGGTTACGGGCATGACAAGCATGACTGTGACACTAGGCACTCGAGATTTAGAACAAATAACCGAGCTCTCGATGAAAACATTAGAAATTGAGCAAACTGGCAGATGGGGTCAAAGTTTGGAGCCATGGACTACTGGATTGGGACCAAAGTAGGTCTTGGGACCAGTCCATGTTCAGGTTTGGAACTTGAGGCTCAGTCAGGTTGTTCAGCTCTGATGGAATTTGCAAAGAAGCTTGAAAAAGCCTAGCATCTTCCTCCTCCATGGCTGCCCTTTGCTCTAGGACTTTCAACGAAGTTGCTTTCCTATAGATTTTGCATAGCACCATGTCCTGCATTACAAAGAATGTAAACAAGAATGAATGATTACAAAAGCTGAATCGTAAGAGCTCGTTTGGTAACGTTCGTGTTTTCGTTTCATGTTTGTTTTTTCTTCTACAAGAAACGGCTACCAAACACGAATGAATGATTACAAAAGATAGAAAGATGAATAGCAAGAGCTCGTTTGGTAACGTTCCTGTTTCCGTTTCATGTTTATTTTGTGAGATCCCACATCGATTTGAATTTGAGAGAGGGCAATGTGCCAGCGAGGACACTGAGTCTCGAAGGGAGTGGACACTGGGCGGTGTGCCAACAAGGATGTCGGGTCCCGAAAGGGGGTGGATTGTGAGATCCCACGTCAGTTACCAATAGGGTTTATTAAAGAACGAAATAATTGTTACCAAACACGATGAATGATGACAAAAACTTATAGAATCTTCATACTAAGATGAATAGCAAGAGTTCGTTTAATAACGTTCTTATTCTCGTTTCATGTTTGTTTCTTCTTCCACAAGAAACGGTTACCAAACACGAAACTCTTTTCAAGTAAGATCGAGATAGATACCTTTGACAACGGAGAGTTATCAGAAAAACGATATTCATTCATGATCCAATCAGTCTTAATTCCTCTACTCGCTCTTCCTAAGTAGAACACAAGTGTCTTTCTCAATCCAACGAGTCGCTTCGGATCCAATAATCTAACGATTTTTCGGTCGGACCCAGTGGCTTTCCAATAACCGTTTTTCGTGGTTCGGTTCGGCCTCCCACCCCCACCTAGCCTCCTATCTCTTGGCACAAAAAAGTACCACTCCCTCTCTCCATTCTTTGCCAATCCTATACACAAAAAAACACAATAATTCACATCACATTTCACCTCATTGAATCAAAACAAAACATTAAACAATTGAGCTAATTTTTTTTCAAGAACACAAACCAGGCAACTCCCAAGGATCATGGAGATAAAGATTAAGAGTCCCAATAGGATCAAATTGCAGCTTCTTGCCAGAAACAACATGTTTCAGGTAAAATTCAAGGAGTTCTTCTTCTGTGGGGTGGAATCTAAAGCCAGGAAGATCAGCTTCCTGTGCCATTTCATGGCTCAGCGTCCTCACTGGCACACTGCGGGTGAGCGTCTTCTTCTGTGGAGGGATGAACAAGGCCATGCAGACGGTGATGCAAGTGATAGACACTTTATAAGCCAAGTTAAAGATGAACAAAAACAAAATTGGGTGAATTTTCAAAAGTTTTGACTGTTAAAGAAGACTTGAGACTTGGTCAATGGACTCAAGAATTGTAAATTGAGTACTTTATGTGGGCATTTAAAGGGACCAAAAAAGAAACAAACATGTCCCCACACGGCTTCTTCTCTTAAATTCATTAAATTTTGGACTGTTTTGGTTATTTTCCAAACTTGGAGACTTTTACATGAAAATTCTTGGTGGGAATTTTTTGGGAAGTTTTTTTTTTTTTTTTTTTTTTTCTTTTGGAT